CCTGTTCTCACTTTTTTTTTTGCCTCTGAAGCTCGTCTTCTTACAGTTTTTAAAGGCAAATTTTACAACAAATGGTGAGTCTAGTCAGAAAATACGGCGAGTCTATGCCAATAGCAATAAAAAAAAAATGCAAATTCTGCATTAAGTGTATGGAGCCAGCCCCAAAGACCAGCACTTCAAGCACTGTCATCATCTAAACAGTTAACAAGCTGAAGCTCCCTATCTGCCCCTGTGAACAAACAGGAAGGAGTTGAAAAGATTTCAAGAGATTTTCTTTTTTCCCCTTCCCATTTGGTGGAAAGTATTTCTGCCCACAGAATGCAAGATTCACAAAAATGTTGGACAAACTTCATCTAACTCCATCCAAAGCTACTCCTCACGCAGTACTTAACTAGCCGAGCTGCTTCACGAAAGGCCCATGTTTATTTGGGCTAGTGACTCGGTTCCCTTCTCCTGGCTGCACGGGTTGTGCCAAGGGAAACGAGGGGATCGGCAATGCGAGTTCCCTTCCAATACAGAAAGAGGAGCAAGTCCTTAAGGACTTCTGTTAATTCCTGACTATCTCCTTGCACACACATTTAAGGAGAGTACAACCGATCATTCCAAAGGGAAGGATCTGCTCTGGCATCTCCTCTTTCTTTCGTGGTTCAAGGTGGAGGTCCTACTTCATGGTCTACTGCTTCATCGAACTACAACCGGAGGGATGCTTTAGGATGCTGACCCTTCCTCTTCATTAAAGCTATTTGCTTTGAACGCTGAATTTGAGCAAGCCTAACCCCCCCTCCCCTCAGAGTATCTTTGTTCTTTGGGAACGTTCTGATTTTGCTGTTCCAAAAGCAGAGGTTGCAAATCAACATAAGGAAACTACTCGTAAGAAAATCTGATTTTAAACATGATCTAAACAAAACAACCCCCAGCCTATCATAGTGCTTTGTAAAACCATATTTTGAACCTGTCTCTTACCCATCCCGATCCACAAACAGTACCTGTTTCATGTCTGCACAATGCAGCAAGCATACAAGACTCACTAACATTTCAGATTTTTATTCCCTGTTAGTGTAACAAAAATAAAAAATAAAGAGACATTCAAAAACAGAAGCGAGATTGTTCAAGTACCAAATAAGGGGCTTTTCCAAACTTAAGGTGTGACACTCCTATAGCAATTCTGCTGTTTTAAACAGCCACAGCGTTCAGTCGCAGACACAGTGCCACCCAAGCCTGCACAGAGCCCAGGATTTGGGGCAACCAAGACCCTCCTCCTTCCCCTGTCCTCCCCAGAACAGCACTAAGTGTCAACATTCATTTCCACAGTCCCCATTACAGTTGCCTGGCTTTGCGAAGGACAAACTTTTTGATTTTTGCCCTGCTGTGACTAGAATTCAGGTATGATTAAATACAAGCTCTTTTCCTGGGAATGGCTTTCGGTAGTGGAAGTCTTGCTTACACTAGTGTCAGCGAGAAAAGAATCAGGCCCATCACATTAAATGGAAAACTTCTTGACCATCTGCCACATCAAGAGAGATGAGTGTGGAAAGAGCATGTTATTTTTGGCATAGAGCGCTAGACTGGATATAACTCTAGATTGCAACTACCAATGGTGCAAAGCAGCGACCCAATCCACTGCTGGTGAGAATTAAAAAAAAAAAAAACCAACAAAATACAACCCCCAAATCTAGAGCACTCCAGTATCAGAAGGTGGACAATCACATATTACTGCTTCACATACTAGTGAAGTGTCTGTCGGGATATCCCTCTGTTTCTAGGTTGGTTATAGCCATGCTAAGATTACTTGTAATCAATAAAGAAACTAGTGGAAAAAGGTTTATAACTGACTGACTTCAAAAACATGGCACTCATGGCTGACACAATGGGGCCAATGGCAACTGTGGAAGTAGACCTGATTTCCATCTATACGAATACAAAATACTGAATCACCCCTGATCCCTGCAAATATACTTCAAAACAGATTAGAAGAAACTGTGCATATTCGACTTTCAACATCCCCCCCCCCATTTAACACTGTGCAAAAGTTATTTATTTAAATCTACATACATATTTAATACAGTATGGGTCAATGAGATCAGTACTCCTCTAACTGCAGTCCGCTAACAGACGGCTGCTACAACAGTGAGACTATTTCCCCCTTTCCTCCTGACGTTTTGACTCTTGAAACCAAAACCTTCTCGCATCTTACTGTTTTAAAAGAACTTGAGTTCCTTTGTTTTGCCTTTATGTTCACATTTCCTGTATTTGTTTTAGGCTTAACAGCTGCTTTTTGTACTAGGATGTAATCCTGCACATCACAGGCCCACTTCTCATTTCTCAGTCTTGCAAGTGTAGAACAGCTCCTGGAAGCCGTGGGTTTTCTCACTGGTCTAACGCTACCGAGCAAACAGAATTAGGCTGAGCCCAATGAGCGCAGCAGGTCCAAGCCCTTTCCCCGTGGATCACACCAGCTACGCGTCAGCGGGTTTTATACCCATTTTAATTTGCCCTACGAGTGCAAAACAGATGCAAAAAGAATCTGTGCAATGGCATGCGAGAGTCAAAGGGAAGCAAATGTAGCAGCTGGGACTTCAGGTGCCTAAACCAAACACAGAGATACACAGCGGCAAAACACAGCCTCAGAGAGACTGCCGAGGATAACGGAGCCAAATACAAGGAACGTGGGCTTAGTCTGCCCATAGCCCTGATCTGAAGGTCTGGGCAAAACAGAATTTCAAAGAATGCTTCAAGATGGCTTATTGGCTCTGAGTGCATCATTCGCAGCAAATACATCACCTGTGATCAGCGAAGAGATCTCAGAGAGTGAGGGGCCAGAATCCCAACTCACTCACACCACCATAAAGCCAAGCTACCTTCACGGACGCCAATGGAATTACACTGTATTTACCTTGGCAGAGCTGGGGCCGGAGCCTGGACCAAGACCTCACAGGATCAGTCAGATTCCACAACAGGGAAACTTCAGACAGTCCTGCTTTGCTATCCCGCTGCTGTCAGTACTGTGAGGGTGTGCCAGGATTTATGAGCCTGAAAGTAGACCTGTGCTTGTTTAAAACAAAACCAAGCCCTACCTAAAACCGGGGCAGATGTGAAACACTTCAGCCAGGTTGTCCCTGTCACAAAAACAGGGATCAGAAATACGTGCCCCATCAGCCCCAAACGTTAACATTGTAAGAGGCGAGCACAGTGAGATCGCAAAGGCAGAGAAAACAATCAGACACTCCTCTCGCACAGGTTCTTCCACAGGCATGGGGCACCTGGCTATCACTTGTGGCTTTGAACTGATTTCCTCATCAGGCATTCGGACTCAGCCCAGCACCAAGGGAATGCTAGATGCACAAGAGGTGTGAGAATGACAGCTTTACAGCTACCAGATTAGAACTGCAAATTATCCAAGATGTAGGGCAAGTTTCTTTAAGAAGAAAAATTTCCACGTCCATATACCACTGAGGAATCCATTCCAGATTTTCACTAAGAGCAAAGGCTACGTCTCATTCTTCCTTTTCTTGGGGAAGCTGGAGAGAAGGGACACACGAGCAGATGTGGGTCACTGACATAGCAACTTGCATGAATTTTCTTCTCCTCTCACCCAGTTTTGGTTAAGTTTTGTAGTGTGGCATCTACAGAAAAGTGGCATCTACAGAATTCTTTGCCTGAAGATTGCACTCTGGCTGATTACAAAGTGCCTAGGATGCATCAGGGTCATTAGTGCAAAATAAAACATCTCACAGGCATGCCAGGCAAACAGACTACCCTTCCTGCAACGGCTGTCAGTGCTCCAGCCTTGTCCTTGCCCTGCTTGCAAATTCATAACATTTAGCGAAATAATACTTCTAGTGTAAACATTAAACATCAACAAGCCTGGCACTACTGCCCAGGCATTATCGAAAAAACCCCATTTGACCAGGAAATAAGCCCCAGGGTCAGAAACAGGCCTAGAGCATTCTCAGACCTGCATGACTGTCTGCTTCCTGTCCTGCACAATGGGTGCATTGCAAGGGAACTGCTTCCAGTAATAGGAACAAAAGTAACTTTCAAGGTTGCACACTGAACAATTACTTTGCCAGTTGTGCTTTGATGCCAAATGGTTCAGTTTGCCAAATTTAGCTCTTTTTCATTTTAGAAGCTTAAGGAATGGAAATAAGCTGCTTTGTATACTTTCCAGGGAGGGGATTTATTGAATGACTGCTTGACAAAGCCCAGGACTACCCACTCCAGTATTTGACAGCAACCCTTGCCAAAGGATGGTACCAGACATCCAATAACTGAGGAGTACGGCTCTCTTCCCTTCCTGTGTTTTGCATCATGTCTAAAATAACTACAAGGGAATTTAGAGTATACCAGTGTAAAATCTTGCTTGGCTGCAGTGGTGTGAGAGTTCAGAACCTAGCTTGCAAAGAACAAATCAGAGGAGATCTATAATTAGCATGCTCACTTCTATACAACTGGAAATGACTACACCTCATGAAAGTGTTTGGTACAATAAGCCATCCAGAAGCTTCTATTGCACCTACCTCTTCTATACCAAAATCAAGCGTTACACGAGTCTGTCATTGTTCAGCAAAAGAACTGCAACAGGTGAGTGCAAGCTTCATTCTAATTTACATTCTGAAGCACAGTATCATTAAAAACTGAAAACAGAATCCCAAGCTGAAAAATGGGAGGAAGGGGGGTGAAGAAAGAGGAGAGTGAGCAATCAGATCAGACAAATTTAGTGTTTTGAAGCCACACAATATTTAGCTTTTCCTTTTATTTGTTTCAAGTTTTGGTGTAGAAAGTATGTGCGGATGCTAATGCAACCTTCCCCGTAAGTGCTCATTCTAGCAACGAACAAAGTTTTGGTGTGTTCAATTTGGTTATAAATGTTTCCTTTAAGTGAAGACCTGTAGTGCCATTGAAACCAAAACTTTGTTACTGTTGGCAAAAAAATAAAGCAACTTTTCTTTACAAGCATTTTTCCATTTAAATAAAAACCTGAAGCTTTTCCATAATTCCTTTGGTCTTCTCTCACCAAATTCCATGTACCTCAAGACAAGCCCTCTTTTGGAAGTTCAGCTGAATCGCAGTGAAGCTGCTAAAATTAACAGAGAAGAATTGCTGTGTAGAGTTTCCCCCCTAGTTTCTTGGGAGTTTAAGACTGAAAGACATTACTGATGCCTCAAACAGAGGCTTCAATTTGTCTCTACAAGAACAAGAGAAAACAAAATCCAATTAGAAGTTCCACTGAAGGTGCCTGGCAAAAAATTATCTCCATAAAACGATGTTTTACTTCCAGTATTTTTGTATGCATTGTGTTGAGTTTATTCCCCTCATAAGGAAACAAAAGTATCAGTGTAAAAGCACAGCTAGGCTTTTAAGGTAGCACCAGGACACCTACACCCAAGTTGTCGTCTTGTTGCTGCTAGGCCTCTTTTTGATTCACATTCACAGAATCACTTCTTGTGCAAAACAAGCAGTCTAAGGAGAAAGAATGCCCTCCAAGTTCTAATAAAAATTGTAGAAAAGAATCCAAGATAAGCCAACACTTTTCTCCTCCCCATAATTTATCTGCAGAGGGAGGGGGGCATCTGTGCGTAGACAGGATAGGCAAGCCTGACATTTAGGGAATCATTGTGTTGGACAAGGGATGTCTGCTGGTAATGAAGAACCAAATCCTTAAGTGTGCTGTACAGGTTATACGGTTCTGCAAACCCGTAACCTCTTGGAGTGCTGTAGATCACACAGTGTTTCACTTCTCCATCAGCTCTGCAAGGAAAGAAACCAGGAGAGTTTAACATCAAAGGACAAACCCAAAGCGACAGTCTATTAACAATTAACTAACGCAGCAACCCTGCCAGTCACTAAATTACATAATGGAGGACTCAGCAGATGCAAGTTGAGGAGATTAATATAGTCTGTGAAGAAACAGTGCTTCAGGGCATGTGATTAAATACTCTTGCATAATAATCCACATAAGAGGCCTCTTCTATCCCAGCAGTACAATTCCCTACTGCATTGTTCTCCAAATGTTTCTTGGAGAAAAAAGTCAAGAGCTTAACCAAGAAGATAAGCACCTGAAGTCAGCTATGACTTTGTGCTCAACTTATCTGGAAACCTTTCCACTAAGCAAAGATGCCAAAACCCACAAATTCTTAGGACCTACAGAGTATTTCATGAAATGCAGCACTAACCTTCTGTGTGCATTTTTTAATGTTAAGCATGGCATGGGTTCAAGTTGGTTCTGAAGTCATAGTGACTGAGTCCTTAACTTGGCAAAGCAGTTACTGCAACACAGTATTGCCAAAGCTGCTAGAAAAACTTATCTGCCAGAAAGATCAAGTATTATGTAATCCCTGTACCGGAGCCTATTACAATCTAAGCCACATGTAGGAACAGGTAACATTGTGCCATCCCTTTGCTAGCTTGTAGTATGATACCAACCAAGCAAAAGTACCTGATGAACCCATCACTTCAGTGACTGTGACAAACAGTATCTTGAACATAGCAGACACCACAATCTTCAGTTACCTTGAGGTGATATACCTTCACATATTCATTTCTCGGACTTGCTTTCAGAAGCAATTAACCTCATGCGAAATAAATCAGTGAAAGCCATTTTGCACTCCAGTACAGGCTTGAAGGGCTTTTAGATAATGGAATCAAAGTATTTCTGACCTCCATTACATCAGCACAAAATGAAGTGAAACACAAGAAATCAATGCAAGGCTGTGTGAATGTCATAAAAAATACTGCTCACAAATAACGTCTCCTCTGAAGCATCACCGTTATCTTAAACATACAAGAGAAAGCATCTAGAATTGGCCATGCCTGAAAATGAGAACGGAAGATGTTACAGCTCTGTTTTTCTTCTTTCCATGTGTTCCTTGGCAGCGAAGAATATGGGAGAATTTGGCCTTCATTTACTTACGGCTGTAGAGCTTCAAGTTGGGATACTTCAGAATTTTGTACTAGCTACCGTGGTGACTGAAGAGACTGCTAGGACTACAGTTATTGCACATTCAAAGCACATTTTTGCAACAAAGCTTATACCATGCTAGTCTTCCTGCAAACATGCAACATGTTCCAATGGGTAGGCCTAGGCTAGGCCTGGCTTTTGTTCTCCAAAATAAAGAGCTGTGGTAGAGATTTATGAATTGACTAGTTAGAATAAGAAGGAAAATAGACTTACACCACAGAACAAGCATAACATCCTTTCTTGCTACTCTCTCGAATTAAAAATGCTCCATCAGGTTTCCCACAGAGCAAGTCTTCTGCTTGGATACGGTTGAGATCCCCAACAAACCAAGTTTTCTCATCATGATGTGGCAGGTTTTCATCTTCTTCATTCACAAAGTACATGCTGAAAGAGAGAATAAACTTAACTTAACCAGCGGTCAGTAAAGGAGTTAATAAGCAGAGTGATTTATTTTTGCAGAAATCATTCAAAGAAATGCCAGAACACACCCAAGTTGGGAGGTCAGGCTCCTAATGGACAGATATTAAGGGCTTCAACTTAGAACTTAATTGTTCCAACCTTGTTTAATCCTAAATGCTTCAGCAGAGTTGCTGCCTCACATGACATACAGTTCCCCTAGAGAATTTCTCCCTTTTTCTGCAGTCCTTCCTTTTTCTACAGTCATTTATTGAGAAACTGGTGTTTCGTATTACCAACCCCCACAAGAGAAAACTTACTAATGGAACACTTCTCAGTAAAATCATATGTATAATGACACTTACTCATCAATATTTTCATTTTTGATCCCCAGCCAGTCGTTTATTCGCTTCTGTCTTACCCCTTTGTGATTGAGCCATCTGCCAGAAGAAGAGAGCATTAATACGTTACTTTAGAGTACATGTACGGGTTTTCTTACTGAGCAAGCTGAAGCTCAGACACAAGGTCCCACAAAGAAACAGTCTGGAACTTAGTTTGTTCTCCAGTAGCAAAACCCATAGAAAGACCATAGATTCCATAAGAGTGCTTCCTTGCATCATCTTCTGAGATGCCCCCTTTACTGGGCAACAGCAAAGAGAAGCCATGAAGCAATCTCTTAAATAGAAAAAGAAGATGGTACAGCTGAGGAAGAGGTACTGCCTCTGCACAGTGCAGGCCAGAAAGGAAGCGGAATACAAGCAGGATACAAATTGCGTCTCTTGGGAAAACAAAATGGGTATTGCCACTGCTTCTTCTAACCTCCTAACATCACCTTCTGAGATAGTGTATTTCCCTCTGTCTTCTGCCGGAATCCAAGTGCACTGAGTCCAGCCCAAGGACATTAGGAACTGGGTAACAGGGGTGTCAGTGAAATCAAGGGTGGGTATGAGGAACAAGTGCTGCACCCAGCACAAAAAGTACTAACCTCTGTTGTATCAGCAGGCACAGGTTTTGTTTATAACTCATTTATCTTAAATGTTTTATTTACAGGAGTTGCAGAATGTGCACCTAGTTGCGCCAGGCTCTCTTAAGTCTGACAACAGCATAATAAAGGAATGAAGTCATGAAGAGGCCAACCAATTACTCAGACATCCCATGCCAGAATGTAGTACCTTAGCACTCACGGAACTTTGGTTATAAAAAGAAAATTAAATTCCCATTATCCTGATAGAAACAGTCATTAATCAGGTTCATCAGAGACACTATTCTGAGGTACAGGTCAGGCTTACTTACACAAGATACTGATCTCTGATTTTGCGGAGCTGAATTAGGTCAGGCTTGATACTATTCATTTTCTTATCAGTCTCCCTGTTGTCCAGAGCTTGTTTCTTCAAATCTTGTTCCAGGCGCATTTTACTATCATGGATCTCACCCAGGCGTGATTTTAATTTTTCATAGTTCATCATTATCCTGCAAACAAGTTTAATATTTGAGAGGTAAGGCCAAACCAGTCTAGAAGGACTGAACCTCACCAGTAGCACTTATATAAGAGTATCACAAGAACTACTGTAACAGCAGCTCCTCCCTTTGACTGCCTCATCTTAACTTGAAAATTACTGTACGAGTGCCAGAAAAGACCTCTTGCCAGAAGGCCTATCACCCTTTTGCATAGTTTGAACCTTCAGTTTACCTTAATATATTTCCTTCTGGCAGAGATGCAGGAACAAATTATCTCTAGGAGGGTAAGCTAGACCAGATTTCTCCTTCACTGTCAGACTCACTTTTTGGTATATCAATTATGCAATCCCACCATAGGTATCAGTACTAGCAAGATTTCAAATGCAGACTTCAATTACTGATCAAGAGCTACCAGGAAGTAACACTACCTATCTCTTCATTCAAGATTAGTTTGCAGGCTTGGTACAATTCAGGAAAATAATGTATTTCCCCCGTTAATTGATCTTTAGTCAAAATGAAGCACCACAATCGCATAGTAAGATTTTTACAGGTAACTGTTTTCAGTCTAAGAATCTCCTTGAGGTTACCCTGCCATAAAGCATTGTGTCAAGTTAGGCAGCATAGCTGGCATTTCTTTAAAGGCCCAGATACAGCTTTTTCTGCCAGTATCTTCAAAGAAGGGCAATTTCAAATGAGGCCCTTACTGAATTTCTGTTAGATGACCACTATCCACTACCAAGTAGTGGCAATTAAATACTCATCTTCTTTGAAAGTGACTAAAACTGACTATGGACTATGAGATTTACCAGATCTATGCCCATTTTGCAGTTTACAAGTAAAGATTTTTCTGAATTATATTCTGAGCAAATCCAAATAGAAGTGGGAGAAGCAAATACAGCTATTATTTCCCGATCTTCATCACAGTATCTTGATTTACTGAAGTTAAGAGAGAGAATAATCCAGAGATCTCCCACCTCTTTTGTCTACAATGCAATTCCCTGACAGAAGAGGGCTTTACTGAAAGTTCAGACACCTTGGGGGAAGGTCTCAGAGTAAATACTGAATTTACAAAGTGGTTTATATGATGCAATATTATATAAAAGAATTTCATGGGAGTGTCAATGTGGACACTAGTTCTTCCTTGTAAGCAAGCACAACTTGAGAGCCTACCGTTCAATTTCTTTGTCATTCCCCTCCCTGCGAAATCGCTCAATGTATTCCTTGCTGTATCGCTCTTGTGAGTGGCACTGTTCCTCAAATATCTTAATAGTTTCATTAAATGCTTCAATTGCGGTCCTCTTCATCTGAATTTCCTATGTGAGGAAAGAGTCCTTCATTATTTGTTCATGATACAGATGACAATGCAAGACTCGAGTATGTTCCCTAAATTGACTGAGAAGATGAACTTTTCTCCCCCCATAAGTCAAAATGTGATTAATCAGTTTTAAATTTAGTCAAATGTCCGAGTAGAGTCAGGGAAGTATAGGGAAGACTTACTCCCTGTAAGTCTACCCTCCTCCCCCACATGATGCTCTCTATTAGGCTGCAAACCCCTCAAATATTTTAGTCGTATTTTCCATTTTAGTTTGCAGGAAGACTGCCAGCAAACCTTCTCCCCATCTATGAACTATCTTATTTTACAAGAAGCAGTCTAAATACTGTATTCACACTTCCTTAATGCATAATACCTGGTATCTGATTTGAACATGACTTCACAAAAAACCTGGACAAACCCCTCTACAATTCTCACTGCAGCATACAGCAGCTGGAAATACTCAGCAGCCAAGGAAGAAGTCTGCAGTGCAATGCTTGTAGGTGATGGCCTTCTCCACCGCTCTACCTTACACTAGGAAGTTCAGCTCCTCTTTCTTCCTTGCCCCACACCATACCTCTAGGGCTATCAGCAACAAGTAATATTCACTGTTTCCATCAACTTTGAAGCCACCTTGCTCTATTCCACAATTTACTAAGTTTTTTCCTTGTGTTTTCTGACCTTGGACTGCCTTTATTAGCCATAACAGGTTAAAATAATTTTCTTTACCTTTTAAACAACAAGAAAGAGACTCTACAGATAGCTAAAGTAGAACCAACCTGTGATGTTCTGGTATATTCTTCATACAATTTGTCGTACTCTTTACTCTTTTCCTGATACTGAGCATGGTATTCTTGAAGCTTTTTACCTACTGCATCTATATTATCTTCTTTCACCAACTGATCCTGTACATACAAAAAGCTATTAAGTCTTCAAGCAAAGCAGCTTTTCCTTAAGAGTATTCATTTTTCCACTTATGCACATTTGCATTTTACAGCTATTAGCATCATTTTAAGCAGGTTTCTACAGAACACAAATACCGTATCTAAATCCCCCTTCCTCCATGCAACAAGTTCCAGAGATACAGACAGTAGGAACTGGAACTATGGGACACCAAGAACTATGCCAAAATACTAAGCTTCCAAAAACAAACTACAGCTTAGGTCTATGATTGCTATCCCCCGTTGGAGAAAGGAGGAAGTGAATTGCTTGGAATCTGAAGTTAAAGATCAGAGGTTTTTTTTCCAAAAACCTCTGCAGTTCTTTTTCCTTAATGCAAGACAATGTGTCGGGCTACTGAATAAAACTTTAAAAAATAGTCTTGAAAAATTTAGACGGCTATGCACAGAGCGAGCAGCTGCATGGCTTACATGTGCTCCAAGGGCAACACTGTCTAGAACAGTGCCCCGTGGATCCACGAGGGCCCAAGGGGAAAAAAAAAGGCTTCTCAGGCTAAGTCTGCTGCATGTCAGGGTTTCACTTCTCTATTGGACTGCTCAGATGGAGACCGGAAATTTGATAAAATGAAGAAGCTTAAACGGCTAGACAATTTGGAAGACCCATTATTACAAGTAAAGTGAGGTCAAATGTGAAAAGTCACCTTTTTTTTTTCAGTTAAAAAAAAAAAAAAAATCAGGCTTCATATAGAGAAAACAAAGCAATTTTTTTCTTGTCTGCACTAATAGCTACTGGGGTACGATGAAGATCTTACCTGCTGGTACCGGGACACTGGATACATCAACTTTACATCAAGCTTCGGGTTATACTGAGCAAGAGACTCATTGCGGTAGTGGTTAATCAGTTCCACAACTGAATTAAATGTCAGTGGATCAGAAAAGCCATATTTTCCATCCCGATGATAGATCTTTATCAGTTTATTGTTGCCACCCTTCCTGTAAAGCGGTACAGTAATTTAGAGGTTTTACTGTGTACCTCCTATCCCTCTTCAACACTAAGGCTGTTAACAAAGACACCAGTGAAATTCCTGGACAAGTGGCTTTGACACTGTACACCTTCATAGTGGTTCTTTACATACTAGCAGATATTGGTAGTTTAAGAGTCAATACACACAGAATTATCAGCAGATGTTATTTGAACAGGAGAAAAGCCCAAAGTAAATCTCTTCCTATGTGTTCATTCTGAAGTCAGCTTATGGTATTTAAGATCTAGCTTTGCCAGAAGTTTTGCAAGGGAAAAGGAGGATGCTGAAGGCTGAATAAAGGAGCCATATGAAAACCCAAACCCACAATTTCCTGCAATTTGGTGTCACTAATAATATACAACTGAGTATACATTTATACAGCGATTAACAAGTCTTGAGTTATGGATGCTAATACAGGATACATGAACCTAAACAAAATTCTTCGAGGATTACAAGATGGCTGTAAGTTTAGGACTTTACATTATCCAGATTTATACATTCTAGCGGTTTCCACAAATATAGTGGTTATTTCTTCCTTTTTTCACCAATAGACTGTTTAGACAATATCCTGTCCTTCCTGCACTCTCAATTTTGGTTCCTAAAGACATCTGTGTTCAGCAAATAACCAAATCATGCCAAACCTTAGTGAACTTCAAGGCAGAAGTCAAAGCAGAATTTAAACTGCACTTTTAGGGTCAAACCTGCCATTAAGACAACGGAATTTCGCGGCAAGATCAAATAGCTACCATATCATAGTAACTCCCAAAGATGCGCTACAGAGGCAGTGGCTTATGTGGCTCGCTTGTTTGCCTCTAACAACCAATCTTGGGAGCCTGGCTGAGGCAAGTGGCTGGACAGGCTGGGCAAGGCACCAGCAGCTAGTCACATGAGGTCTGCTGCCTAACTGCAGCAGACAGGGCTGGGGCAGCTCTGGAAAGTCTGCCACTTGCAGACAACTTTAATGAAGAAAGGAACGTGGCTCCAATTCAATATTTCCTAAACTTTAGATCAGAAAGCACAAGATACTCTTTTTACAAAGACACTGTGTTCAATTCTCCAGAGCTGCATGCTGATGAGATACTCAACACGCTCCTGTTAATCAAAGCCCTAGTTTATAAATACCTTTTACCTTAGCAGTTCTGAAACTATGAAGCACTACCGAGTAGCTCTTCTCCCTGAGTCCCATCTAATCTACACAGAGATCCTTACAGCAGTGTTTACTGAGGGACAGGATTCAATGCACAGAACAGAACTGACTATCAGACCTGGCTGATTTATTTGCTCATTCTGTGATCTGCAGTACCTTTGGGAACATCTCTCAACTTGAGGCACGTCAGCTTTACACAGCCACTGGTGTCACTGGTATAGCAACTAGCTACTCAGGGTTTTACTATGTGGACTACAACTGCTCAATGCTTACCGTAATGTCAGAGTGTAGTCTCCCTGCATCTTGGTTGATGCATCGCGCACCAGGAATGTTCCATCTGGCATGTCTCGTAATTTGTCATTTACTTCTTCCCTGGAGAATGGAAAGGAAGGCAAAATTAGAAGTGTTAAGGACACGATCATCTTTGCCACAGGTATCAATACTGGAGCCAGTAACACCAGCATGCGTAAGGAGTTTAGTCTTCAAAATATCAGGCAATCTTCTTTCACACTCAGGCTCTCTAGTCTTTTAGGCCATCTAAAGCAAGTCTGAACTTGTGTAGTTATACTAAAAAATACCAGCTGCAGTCAACTGCTACTGAGGAATAAGTCTCTGTTTAAGCAACAGTAGCGGCTGTGTCTCAGAGTTCACAACCTTTCCCTGTAATCTGCTCAGGTTTTAAAGTCCACACTGGAAACAGGTGCCCTTTGAGAAGCCAGTCCTGACCTCTTAAGAAATAGTCTCTAGCATCATAGCTCAAAGGTGTCTAGAGCTTAGCACAGTTTTAGTCTCAAGAGACTCATTATTGGCTTAACTCCGATCTTATTTACAGCAGTTTTAAACCACTACAACCTTGCTAGTTTCAGTGCAACTTTTCCTTATTTACAACTGAAGCAAGAGGATACTCAGTCCAGAGCTTTAAGCTAAATCAAGAAATCTTTTAGTGAAAGTGAGTACCTCTAAGCATTAAGAATATTATTTCAGCTGAAGAGTTAAGTGTCTTGCCAGGTTTGACCATTTTACCCAGATTACATATCTCACTTTATAACAGCTCCCTCACAAGGTTGTTAGAACACTAAGCACTTTTTAATACAATCATTTGGAAACTGAAGTTTATCAGGTAGCCCCAACATCATCTAAGTGAGGTAGGAAGCCTACTTGAATCTTACAAAGAAAAATCAACAGCAGCTTTTTTGTTCAAATACTAAGGAACAAAAGTATTCTTACAAAATAGCCTTAGTTTTGATTTAGCTACCTGAAAACCATTCTGTTAGTAAAACTGACTCCTATTCAGTATCATGTGCATATCCGCTTACTCCTCTCAGAACATTTTACAGATCGGACCCAGTTAACTCAAATGGCCTTCTCCTTTTTGAATGGATAGATATGATCTACGGGCTTGGGCTTATGCCTGCAAGTTGCACCCTGGAGCTCGTAACAAAATTTTCAGCACAAGTTCTTGACTGAAGAACATGGCTCCTGCCCTGACAGCCTGATGCAGTGCATCCCTGCTGGCTGTCAAATTAGAGTCATAAACAATTCCATCTTTACATGCGTGTGTATCACATTTTAATCTAATAAAGCCACTCCAATGTGATTTGTACTGCATTAGCTCCTGCCATCACGTGCACTGTTAATTGAGGAACAAATCCACAGTCAATAAACTGATACCAATATCAAGCAGTTTTAAACAAACCCTGCCTAGTAGGTTTTGTGATCAGGTTTTGCCACTCTGCTTCAGTTTAGAATTAACAGAAAAATATCACTGCCGAGGCCCTTCAAAAGCAAGATCTATGAGGGTTTGCTTTATAAAGATAAGAGTGGTACAATAAAGATATGAAAACTTTATTTCCCTTCTCAGAACTTCAATGAACTACTGTGGCAAACATGCTCTTCTTGCCGCTATCTGACAAAGTGTTTCAAAGTATTATGTGCACAAGTTTGAGCAATTCCTGATCACACTCCCAGCATGCTCATGTTTCCCCTTATGGTTCCAAATTCTAGACTCTTCAGAAGTGCCTTAAGAGGGAAAACTTCAGTTCTTTCATGCAATTAAGTATATAAAAACTGGCACTTCATTTTCTGAACCTAACCCAAGCCATCTATTTTCTCAAGCGCACAGAAAAGGGTTTCCTTAAGAGGTAAAACTTAATTTATTTGGTATGTATCTGTATCATCTGCTCAGTATAGCTGGCGATGGTTAGCATTTGTAAGAGCTATTTTTATACCACCATGTAATAGAAATTCATACAGATGCAATTTTAACCAAATGTTAAAGAAACAAAAAAATAAGAACGCAACTCCTTTTATTCTGAGCAAGCCTTTTACTGAAAGTTTGCTGAACTGCATGCATCCCAGCATTGTATGCTTACAAAACCTTATTAGCTAGCACATTCAGAAGCACTTTTCTTTTGAACGAAATAATTTTCTCTTTTTTAAAGACTTCATGTATCTGGAGAAATTTAGAAACCCAAAATAACTGTCACCAAGAATGGCAATATCTGCACCACAACAGTAACAACTTAAACACAAGTCCTGAATCTAGTTGAGTACTTTCATTTAAGTGCTTTGCCAAGTATAGTCCTGAAATGTTTCCCTCCTGTAAAATGCTGCCTGAAATAGGCATGTTCTTTTTCTCTTGAATTCTAACAGGCTTATTCTATTTTTAATAACATATATTAATATATTTTGATTAACATATTTTACTAATACTGCTTACCTTGAGATGTCCCCCCAGTACCACTCTGCTTCCTGCAGAGAGAAACTGGAATTGTCCTTTATTCCATTTGTATTGACTGGAGTCATTGGTTTGGGGGGCTTTGGAGGAAGAGCTGAAAATGAAGAACAGATTAAAGAAAGGTAAACAGGAGAAAATATTCACTAAACTGTTAATGAAATATGACAATGAAAAAGTGAGAGAAAATATGCATCTTGAACTTGGATTTCAAGCTCTCGCAAAGTAAATGAAATTCGTAATTTAGTAATTTTTAAAGAATTTTGAAGTCAACAACTGCACTGTGATCCTAGATTTCCTAGTACTCAAACCAAACATGCGCTTGAGGGAGGGGAAAGGGAAGGAGTATGAGGAAACATGAGTTTTTGTTAAAAGGAAGACTGGCTCAGGCATGACTACAAGGGCAATCACCGCCTAAACCTCCAAACAAGTTACAAAGGTGTACTGTGTTTGAAAGCCACAGCCTGGAGAGCACTGTGCACCACTATGGAAAAACTCCAGCTGCTCCGGCATCACCAGCCCTTATGGCAACCCGTAAGAGCAAACGGGTGAGCTCTTCTTCAGAGGGAGAAATGCTGCTAGTGAGAGAAATGGTGGCTGGGCAGCAGTATATCCATCACAGACCCAAGCTTCATGTTTCATACTAGATTTACTGTTTAGGCTCCTGTTAGGAACATAAGCTATGACTCTTTGAATACTACAGGACACGAGGTGATAAAGGAAGGGGATGAAGGAAGGGGAAAGGGGACGTTAGGTCATTATTAGAGTGCCTGCACCACTTTACATAGCTGAAATGTTTACTGCAGGAAAGGGGATGCTACAAATCCCCCAGAGACAGGCAGAACTGCACATCTGTAGGCCTAGTGCATACCTGCCCAGAATTCCCCTATTCTGAATTCAAGGCAAACAGGCTTTTACTTCTGTTCTCAAAACAGGTTACACAATGTAAGGGCATACAACCCACTGAAGCTCTTTCTATTTGGTCAGTTTTTGCTCAAACAACTTTATCACGGTCTTGAATGTAAGCCCTATATCAGGTGTAATTCAGCAGCCACAGGCATGCTCATGTATTGGTGGAGACTTGTCTGTCAGCAGAAATGCATTACACTATGTTCTTCGAGAAAGATGTCTTTGAGTGCTCTGCCCTGCTTTGCAGAGGCTGAACGCTTCATCAAGAACACTATCACTGAAACTGAGCATTTTTCAGGCATTTCATGACACAGGGTGTTTTAGAGGGGCAGTTAAAATTTGAATTCAGAGTAAGAAAGCAGCTACACACATTGATTTGCTACTAGCACGTTTTTAAGTCAGACCCTGAACATTGTGATCCCAGTCCTATGCCCTAGCCATCAGATTACACAAGCATCAGCAAGCGGGCCTGACACGCACTGACAACAGCCATCTTTCAGATGCACACAATCCCGGTGTACACGCAGAAATACAAATAAAGGGAGCAGAAAGAAGATTTTGATCTCTAGCTCCAGTGCGGAATGGCTTAACACTGAGAGGTGTGCTACTTGGCACCATCCATCTGCTCACCTCCGAGCCACACCTCCCACATTAAAGAAGAGAAAACAGTGTTCCAACTGCAGTTCCAAATACCATTTCATGTTGAATATCCGACACAGTAACTTCACTGTTCTCAGACAAACCAGTAGAATCTTTAATCGAGCCAATCTAAACTAAATCTGAACCTTGACCCAGACGTTTGCACCCTGGGGTTGCTGACCAAACACCTGATTCAGATAGCAGCATTCATTCTGCGGGACTGAGCATTAAACCATAGCATACAGGTTCTTTTTATGGGGCGAGCTGGGAACTTTCAGGTGTGCACATATCTAGCAAGGCAATAACAGGTCTTGTTATAAAAGGAAGGTGAAAACCTTTGGATTCAGTGAAATAGTTTCCTGGTTAGGAGGCTTCAGTTACTCCTAGCTCAACTACTACCGTTGTTTGTATAGCACCTAAGTATTTGTACAAAGCACCATTGAGAGTAAGACACAGTTCTAACCCTACTTTGCTTCTAGTGCCCAGCCCTATCCCACTTTTGCAGAGTCAGAGGAGCGTATATCCAGGCTAAGTCCGTAGAATCAATTGTATTTACTGTGCCCTGTGCTGTTCCATCTCCCCCATTCAAAGTTCCTGACTTAGAAAGTGTCTTCGGGTCTTCCCTCCTCCCCACCTCACATCTGGGCTGTGCTACCCTACACGCTCTAAGCAAGCGACAGGACAGACGCAGCAGTTCTGAGTCTCATCAGTGTCTGCACATGGCAGTAAACCCGAGTTCAGAAAACCTGTAGATGTTCTGATCTACTCCAGAATCTTCTGTAGCTTCAGAGTCACCAACAAGCACATGAAGATTCATGTAAAAAACACACAAGAGTGTGGAGAATTCTTAGAAAACTATACCAGCACCAGCACTTATTTCACTGGGTCTTGCAAATTAAGGCTTGGACATATCAAAAACGTCAAGGTATTTTACAGTGTAAAAGCCTATTTTACACTGGTAAGAGGGGCTTTCCAGAAGAGACTTTCAAGTGTTCTCTAGAGTACTTGAATACTTCTCTAGCCCTCCTTGTAAGATTAAGTCTTGCTCCTTTATATACTGTAGAATTATTTAGCAGGCTTTGTTAGGGCTCACTCCAAAGCACTGGGCACAGAAAAGCAAACTAACAAAGACCAGAAAGGCAAGGAACAGGAGTTTGGCACATGGACACAGAACACTAAACATTACACCAAGTGTCCTTACTACAGCTCCCTTAACAGGTAGGTATCAGTTCTCATTAACAGAGGGTTGTCTGCAGAACTTCATTCTGCATGAGAAAATTGGAAGGAAATTCTTCCAGGGAGAAGAATAAGGCTTAAGTTCCTGTAAAACCTGACTCATGGAAGCCAGTCCTTTTCACAATAGACTTTTGAAAAATGCTTTTTAATAGCTTGCACATTTTAAAAATACAAAAGTATTTACAAGGGTGGATCCTGTTTCCAGACAGCTATGGATCTAATTCTTTACTTTCAATACTCTGAACTCTTTGAGTCATAATAGATTTTCCCCTGTCTTGGATACAGAACCAGGCCCTTGCTATTGCTTTACCCAGTAGACTAACATGCCCATCCATTTCAGTGTTTCTTAGCTGCCCTCTCAGCCTGATACGGCTGTAGTCTGTACAAATGGAGAACTGAGCACGAAGGTAGTTTAAACCCCACAGACCAGAACTTGTGATGACACAAGAGGAGCATTTTGTAATAGTATGGCAAGTATACTGTAACAGAGCAGCATCCACCCTACTGCTGTTCTCAACGCTGCCCAACTGGGTTGCTAGAAGAGGCATCCTAAAATAGTTTTTACTAGTACCTAGACAGTACTAACCAGAAATCGTGCTGTGATGTTTCTATGAGAAGCTACAAAGAGCATTAAAGAGTCTACAGATTTTGATTTAAATTCAAAAAAATCCAGTTTTATATATCTTACTTGATGAACATTAGAGAGCTAGAATCCTACAGTAAAGTAAAATAAGGCTGGCTTGAAGTCAATGGAAATGCTTTCAAGAGCAGCTGTGCTTCTTTGCATGTCACTGGGTCCAATGCTGATCTAGCCACAGGCACAATCTTACTTTATCTCAAAACAAGCTCTGATTAGAGTGAATGATCCTGATGGTTTCTTGCCTCCTTTTTCCTGGGAGAGAAAGAATATTGATCTAAAGCGATTAACAGCAAAATGGATCTACCTGTTCTAATGAAGAACTTGCTGTTAGCACCAGATACCCAAGCATCCTTCCCCTACCATGTCTCTAGGACAGCTTTACGGCACAGATCTTTCCAAAACCCAAAAGGCAACAGCTCAGCTGGACCCTTCCACTCCCACGAGTGCATTCCCAAGATCAGGCTCAGCCCCCCATGACTGCCTGGCACGCAGCGATGAGAGCAGACTGGCTCTCCCTCACACACTAGCAGGCATCTCCAGTTTTTCTTTCTTTAGCAACTCCAGTCCCCTCTTTCTAGCTTCCCCAAGCAGCCTAGCTTGAGCTAAATCCCAATCCCAGATCAGTGTCACTTAGAAGGCGGGAAATAAAAAAGAGCTGGTGATGGAGCGGAGGCGGCGGCAGCCAATGCTGGCCGGGCCCGGGATCGGATGTTGCTGACGTCAGGGCCCAGAAGGCTGCCGTGCCGGCTCCAGCAGGTAGCTTCAGCTGAGCTGCTCTGCAGAGCTACAGCACAGGTCCTTAGAGAGAAAAGCCTATTGATTAGGCTTTGCCAAGGTAATTTTTTGGATGCTTTCTTGACTGTGTAGAATTGTTTTTTAAAAAGGCTACTCAAGATTTAACTGACTTGATTCCCTGAAATTCAAACCACCTCCAACACCAAGACAACCAAGAAAGCTGGCAAGTGTCTGAAGTTTAGCACCGTTGTACTTTTTTAAAATTAAAGTCTCTTGTACAAAAATAGTAGGCTATATTAATCCCAAATTTAACTTCAGCAAAGTACACCGTGACTTCCATGAGATATGCACTTTTCCCAGTCAGGTTTAGAATCAAAAACTTCCCAAGTTTACATGATCTAAGAGCCACCGAGCCCTATGTGTGAGGGTTTTCAATGGCACTAATTCAGGAGTGAAAAAAGAAGAATGCCTTGGGTCTCCAAGTGCTACATCCCACACAGCATCCAGTCAAGCAGCCCGTTTCTTCTCTGGCTGCAGTATTTGTGTACAAGATAAACCTGCCAGTTAATGAAACTCTAATTTGCAGTTTTAAGGCAGATGACACTTAGTCTAGGAATGGCTCCATAACCTATTTCTTCCAGTATTTTCCAAGAGCTGCAGGCCAGGTACTTAAAAGCATAGCAGGTTTAAATGCAGTATTAACTCTGTCCTACTGTTACAAATAATCACAACTACCAAGTACTCTGATAAATTTTAAGTCACCCAGCACTTCCATGAGCTTGTTTACTAGCCTTCTTTCTGATGCTCTCAATCTACTCTCCCTCCAAGCAGAAAACAAATCAGAGGATTTCCCAGAGAGTTACCCAGCTTCAAAAAGGCTGACGTACAGTAGATATCCTGCAAGCTGTAATATAAAGCTCTAGAAAGTGTCATTA